TAGGGGAACGGTTCTCAGAGGAGTAATAGAATTTTTTAAAAAAGTCTTGAACCTCTTTCCAGCTTGGGTAATCATTGATATTGTTAGCTCTTAGCATTTTCCTCAGTTTTCTGTATGCTGATCGACCCAGCAGTGAATCACACCAGATTGGAACAGCTGTCACAATTGTTATTTGAGTAGTTTTGACACAGCTAGAGGATGAACATCTAGATAATAGGAAATCACAAACCTCTATTAGATCAATATTCTCGATTTCAGCAAGTTTGTTTACATTTTTCTAGATTTCTTCTGTTCTTCGAGTTTTTGACTTTCGAGAAATACTATCCCATTTGTTTCTATTTCTTTGTGTATCTTCTTCTGAATTGTAGTCATCTTCTTGGTTTATCATATCTTCATTAAATAACAGCAAAACCTATATATGAAATTGTAACACTAAAAATTTTAATTACTATTATTAGTAATATCAAACTTTATCATTTATAATCACAAAAGTAATAATAATGATTTTCGTCAAGATTAAGTTTTGTTTATAAATGCAGTAATATCTGCACTAATTAAAAAATATTCTATAATAATTATGTCATTTTTTGTTTAATTTACATATATGTTTGAAGTTTGTAATTAGCTCCACTTTTCCCAGCTTTACTAGAGCTTCTTTGTTAATCTTGATACGTTTTGCAATAAACATTGATTTTTTAGGTTGCTGAACTGCCTAAATGTATTTATTAAAACTAACTCTGAGTGTTCGTCAATGTCATTAATATTCTCTAACATTTTAAACTGTAATTAATGCTTGTGCTGAATTAACATTGTTATCTAATATTATTTTGAAAACTTCTTGTTCTGTATAGAGAACCATATTGAACAGAGAAATTACCAGAAACAAAGTAATATACTTTTACTAAAAGGTTTTTTTAACGTGTTCAGTGTTTGATTTTTGTTCTTATTCTGAATTCAATAATTTTATTGTAAAAAGCTTAAAGCCGTTTGTTGACGATTATGTGGTTAAACAGTTTTTATTGTTAATTATTGTTAATTGGTATATATGGCTTTTAATGTTAATTTTTGAGGGTTTTAATTCAATATAAACTATTGCTAGAATTCGTAAATAGGAAGTTTTAATTATGTAATGTCATTACCTAATTCCTGTGTTTCATACAAGCTATAGCTTGCACGAATAATCGTAGTTATAACTACGCAACATAAATAAAATACTATACAATATTTTCATATTGTAAATACAAATCATTATTTATGGTTTACAAAATTACATAATTAAAAAGTTTGATTTGGCATAAAAATTTAGGCTGTATACACAGTAATTGCAGGGGTTGGAAAATGGTTTTTACCGCTCTTTTATGGAAAATGCAAGCAAGTAAAAGAAGGAGGTAGTGCTGTTAAGAAATTTTCAAGCTAGAAAAAAGAAAAAAAAAGGTTTTTTTAAACACCCATAAAAAAGTGACGCCCTGGGCGGATTAACATCCCATTTTTTGCCCGATTGCTACCCTAATGTTAACACATAGGCCGCAACTTCATAATATAAATCTGAGGGAATTTTGACCTGCCTTCAAATAGTTATATAAATTTGTCCCCAAAACAGCCCAAACGGACCACTGTGAATTGGTACAAGACATTCAACAGTTAAAGAAGATAAATTCTAAGATTTTTTAAAAGAACACAAATTTAATTTTCAACTCTATGAGTATAAATGGTCTAAAGAACTTCTTCATAATATGTAAAAAAATCTTTATATTTTATAAAAACCATTTAACATAAACATTTTATTATGTATTTAAAAAACCCTTTTTAAAAGTCTTTTAGGCAGGTTTATCTTTGTTTTACTTATTAATCACATTCTGCTGACTTGTAGGACTTGCTACTAATGGACCCAATGGCCATAATGATGATGTGTGATGTGATAAAATGTAATCACATTCTGTTGCCTTGTAGGACTTGCTATGCTATTTTCTAAATGTTTTTTTAGCCAAAACTAAAGAAGTTTAGTACTCTAATTTAAAATAGTCTCCCACCTTGGAGCTTTTAGTCAAGTTAAGGCTAGATATGGTATCGTAATAAAATTACTCAACTTAGGCAGTTGTCTTTGACCAAACAGTACATGCTAATGTACTGTTTGGTCAAAAATTTTAAAATCAGTATACATCAACAGTCTCTAAAATCAGTATATCAAATATTTGTTCTTAGTTGCATATGATCTACACACAGAGTGGCTAGAGTGTTAGTATTTTCTCCCCCTGCCCCCTGAACATCTAACTTCGTTAGAAAACTAAAGTTAAAACATTTGCCTTAATCTATTTTAAAAAATTCCAAGAATGTTTTTCTGTAATATAGTTTAAAGAATTTTTAAAATTAACATTGGAAATTTAAAATTTTTTTAAATAATCAACTGAAATGATATTATTTGTATCAACTAAAGTCTCTAGATTAAAATCAACAGCAACAACATCTTCATCATTCTCATCATGATCACTAGTATTACCTAGCATTATATCAGCAATATTTGCTTCTTTTTCATGGAATGTGGCATTTGCATACTTAAGAACTACATACAAAAAAGCTGATTGCGTTATCTTTTGCAAGTCGGTTTTTATGCTTTGAAAGTATAAAATCATACAAGCTTCATATTCGTGCAACTTTTTCTAAATTTAGAAATTTATACTCTCAACACTCCACCAGATATTTATATCCTCAACACTTCACCAGATATTTATACCCTCAACACTCCACCCTTGGGATTCATTAATTTAACTTTAGCTGCAAAATCTGGAATTGGATTTGCACATAGTCTCTGAAAAGATCTTATTTTATTTTTGAAGTTTGATAATTGCAAAATCCTCTTGTTTCAACTATGTAATATAGAAGTAACTGAAGGATGATAACAAGATCACTTTTACTGGATGGAGGAGGTTCAGTATACATATTTTTATCACTATGATTTTGTGGGTTAAGAAAATACGCAAATCCCATGGATGGTGTATGCACAAATTCCCATCAGTGTAAAACAATTGCTTTCAATACTGAGTCTTTACTCCATATTTGCATTAAATTAACTAATTATAAATAAATTTCAGAAAGTAAAAAAGATTCTGATTCCAGTTTGCCTATTAGTTTTAATAATAGTTTCATAACATTAATAAAATGTTGACAATCTTCTTAATTTTGTCTTGTATAATATTTGTATATTCTAATTTTTTTGCGAATAAAGATATGCGAAAAGGCACCTAAGTTGACTAAATTCAAATTAAATAACTTGTTTTCATGATTACGGGCAACTGATGTATGATGACTATACCACCGTGTTAAAACTGTGTGTGATAATTCTTGCATTTTCTTTAAATTATTTTTTTGTTTAACACAATTTTAAATTATACAAAATTGATCAACAAGAGATGTTTTTTGCTTAACAAATGCTATCAGTTTTCCAGACTTTTCTAAAATATCCACAAATTCAGGTAGAAGGTAAATTTCTTCTACTAAAAGATTGATTGTATGGGCCACACAATCATTAGAAAATATTTTTGGATATTTTATTTCAATAACATCCCATGCAGGACATGCTCTCCTTTTTGAGGCACATCAGTTACAATGCTTGTAACTTTATCAGCACCAACCTTGAGAATTATATTTTCTAAGTGAGTTGCAATATTAATGCCAGTCTGTTATTTTTAACACGAGTTGAATAATTAATGTGATGATTTGCATTAATGTTTGAAAAACCATCGGCCACTATAATTACATATTCAGAATTATTAGCATATTCTTTTATTGAATGTTTTTCATTATTTAATGCATCCTTAAAAAAATGCCTTCTAATGCATTTACTAGATGGAGGCTTATATGCAGGCCTAAGATAAACAGAATGCTTCTTCCAAGCAGAAGAATCAGCTAATGCAAAAGGTAATCCTGTATGGAAAAAAACCCTTGCATATGGTTTGTCAATTTTTTCAATGTCATCTTTGTTTATAATGCCAAAGTATGAATTTAGTATAGTTCTTTTAGCAGACTGTCTAGAAATTGAATCTTCAGAGGTTTGTGAGGTCGTATTTTCATTGCCTTTTGTTTCAACTAAAACACTCTTACCATCTCTTTTTATTGTTTTGTGGTACAATTTAACATTGCCAGAGGCTTTTTCATATCCCCTTATATGCTGCATCCATCTGAAAGTTGAGCGTGCTGTAATTTGTTTATCACAATATTTGCAATAAATGCTTGTAAATTTGATCAGCCATCTTAATTATTTTACTTAAATACAATAGTAAACATGTATAATATTGTTTACAATATTAATAATATTAACAATAATATTATTACTATTATTGTTAATATTAATATTGTTAACAATATTATACATGTTATGATTATTAATAATAATAAAAATAGTAACAATGTTAATTATAGTAATTTATTATTATTTGATTCAGATAACATAAATCCAAAGAATAAACAAAAAACATGTAAAAAAAAGGCAAAACTATTTATTAAAAAAGATATTTTTTTTTAAATAGCAAAAAAAGCAGCACAAACAGAGTGGTATAAAAGTTTATTAGCTCAAACAATTTAAAAAACTAAAAGAAAAAATAATAAAAAATCAAATAAAAAAATACTTTCATTATTTATTCAATAAATATAATATAGAAATTAAATACATCAAGAAAATATAATTGTTAAATTATTTAGTCAGTCCAGTAATATTTCATAAATAAAAGCATATCGGTATACTAAATGGTGTACTAACATTCAGTATATCAAATATACGGTAAAGTTTACTGTAAAGTTAGTAGACCATTTACTGTAACCGGCAATCCCTAAAATAGTTGCATGTTTGTATTAGTTAGTTGTTTCTTTTTTGTTGCTAATGCATTGCATATTTGTATTAATTGGTTTGAAAGTTATTAAATTTATTTACATTTTTGTCAATAAAGTTGTAATATTGTAATTTTTAAAAAATATACAAATTTTTTTATGTTTAATTATGTATTTAG